TTTCCCAATGGATAAGGCTAGTGCACGTGTTCGTGACGAGGGACGAGTTACGACAATGTGTGCTAGCAAAAATCCTTTCATGCAAAACGATCGAAGGTGTTTTGCCCAGTTGGACTTCATGATATTTCATGAGCTATTTCATGAGCATGGTATTTGCATTCATGATAAATGGCGTGATGACATCGTGGCCATTTTGGATGCTAGACCTCCTCAAAGGGGGGGCAAATTTTGAGTGCCCGCCCTTCCCACCCCGATAAGGAGCTGGCCTGCCGGAGGCAGGAGAGGGCTCTCGGGATACGCTGGGATTTCGCCACTCCGATAAAAAGGTGAGAGCGCTACCGATTGTGTGCCTCGATTGATTATCAATCTTTGAATACATGTTGTTTATGGATTGAGTACTATTTGGAAGCTAGCTAAGCTAGCGAAATATTTCCCATCGAGACTTCCTTGGATAGTCTCCCTGGTGGAAGACTGGGGTTGGCGGTGGGAACAATTGATAAGGCTAGTGCACCGACAATTGCATCGACCTTAGTCGAACGTGCCAATATGGCAATATCAGCTACAAGCTGGTGTCTTCCGAGCAGGAGCCCCTTCCCACAGGCCATTATCACATGTTCCAGGCTGGTTGGGGAAATGCGGCGCGTGAGGGAGAGATGGCATGTCAAGGATGAGGCCAGGCCTTTGCTCCTGGCACGTATGGATGCGCAACAATCTGTAAGCCGACAAGCCTAAATGTTGCTTTGCTCGACGTGTTCCGTCTGGCATCCAAGCACTGCATGCGCAGACGTAGCTGGGAAGTTCCATCGCTCCAAATAATTTGGTCCAACTACTGATTCGTCATACACACGTTTCGCGGCCAACACCCTTTGCTCATTCATCTCCAATTTGCAAAAACCCTTGATGTGCCTATGGTGAGTAGCAACACCTCCTTATTCTGTCCATGTAGCATGCACCCGGCAGCATCAAACATGTATATGCCAGCATAGGGCTGAGGTGAGTTGGCTGGTGCACTGCTCATAGATTGTACAGTCAGCAGCTTATAGGACAGATCACACAGTACCTTGGTTGCGACATCTTGCGCAGTGTAAATGAGCTCTGGTGCAGTTATTAGGAGCTGGTGGGCGAGCTAGGCATTCCGGTGAGTGATTCCGCCTCCTCGGGCGGTTTCATTATGCTACTTACATGGAACAACCTGAGACAAGCTTCACATGTAGCCTATGCTAGTTAGCTTATATGTCGAATGGAAGAAAATGTGTTTCCCTGCTAACATGGCAGTGTTTCTGCCGGTTACGATGCTTGCTTTCAGCAAATTGTGTGGTTTGATGATTAAATTATGAGAAATCGTGCTGGATAGATCACGTGACTACAATTCCGGTGCGCCCTTCTTGCATGACCGCCATGCATGACAGTTTCCCATGTCGTTTTGCGACGATGTGCTACACACATCATCAGTTGCAGAGGTTTTTTATTGGTCAGTTTGTGTTCCTGCCTCAGCTACTTTAGTTCGAACTCCTTTGATTTGGTCTTGCATGTATTTTTTCATCGACACCATCGATGGCTTCCGGGTTATTGTCGGATATCCATATCTGGACCGCTAGTAAGTTGGCCAACGAGTCTTTTCTGGTGGTGTCTTCCAGGAGGAAGGCCTTGTCGACATAGCTTGCATAGCCAATTGACTAGCCAGCTGGCACTTCTCCTGGCCAGCCTTTTTCAAAGTTGACTTCGGCGGGTTTTGTCCTGGACAACATGCAGGACAACACAGGCGCCTCTTGGTTCTGTTCCTCGCCTCTTCGTTCTGTTTCTGCAAAAGCAGTGTGCTGCGCAGCCAGATTTCCTAGATGATGTTACGAGTGGCCTTGCAACGAATGAAAGTTTCCGCGTGTCAAACGCATCAGTTCCAAAGCTAACGCTCGGGATTCCAACCTGTAGGGTCGCGGTTTTGTGTTCTTTTAGGGGCCAAGCCAGTGGGCTCCAACAGGAGATGTACGCGCCTGCGCATTGAAAAGTTGGCCCGGGGCCGATTGATGGGTTTCTTACGTGCTTTTACGAATCGTTCTCATTCGACGCTGCTTTGGAAGTTCCGCCGTTGCTTCACACAGCAAACCAACATAACAATTTTGTCCATCAGACACATGCAAACCAGGAGCGTTGGATCCATGTACATGCCAATTTTATGTCATGAGCTTTATTGCACAAACGTGTTTGGATTGCAGAGTTGGGCATGTGGAAACGTTTTTCTACGTTTGCAGGAGTGATGCAATGATGCTCGTACTGAGGTGTGCATTCCTTGCAGCTTTTGCAGCATGTCATGACAGCAGCATCATCAAAGGTTTTTTTAAAGACAGGACTTGTTAGGTTCTGATCAGCACTCATCACACAAGTTTTGTGACAACATTGATGCGTTAGCTTTTCCCGTGCACAGTGCTCAGCCTTGCAACAAGCCCCTGGACAAAAATCCACCAGTTACTTACACATGCCTTTTTTGCGTGATGTCGTTGAAACGTAATCGGTGAAGAGGCACCGGTTTGAAACAAAGTATTCTTGGCTTGCAAGAGGTTTGTATAGATCATGTGCCGAAGATTGTTGCCACAGGCATTAACAGCGTTTTGCAGTAGGCCGAAGGCTTTGAAGGAGAGCGTATCGAGGAATTTGATTTGTAGATCTGCAGGCCCATGAGCCGGCGACGCGGGGCATTTTCTGCATTTGAAAAGACTGCTAGTCAAGCAGGGCACTCAGCGGACCTCCTTTTCCGATCTGATGCCAAGGTTAGGAGATGTTTCTGCACACATTTGTGTTGGATCAGGATTGACATTCCGTAGCTTGGTTGCTGCACAGAAGACTGGTCCACGGGTACGTACCTCTGTCAGTACATATCCTAGATAATGATGACCATTTGCTTTGTAATCACAGTGAGGAGGGTTTTTCAATTTTATTGGCGACATCGAGATCCCCGAAATGATGTTCAATTTTGAGCGGGCACTGAGGCTAGCACGGACCCATTCCTCAACAATAAAAATGTTCTAGGCTGCAGGATTTTCATTGTTGATTTGGTTTAGAATTGTTTTTAGGGTTTGCGAAATCCGAAGACTTGCATAAATCGATCGGTCCCTCTCCAAAATGACGGTGACACTTTTCACGCCAGCAAGTGGTGACCAAGGCAGCAGCGGCCAGCCAATCGGGTCAGCCTGATGTGCAAAGGCCTGCTTCAGTCAGACAGAAATCCCAGGGCGCCATGGTGCCTGTTATAGCTGCCTTTCGGAAAGCCAGGTCCAGCAAGCGTGTGGTGCATCTCAGATTTGCATTTATACTCAAAAAAGAAGCTATGCGGCCAGGGATGCCTCTCTTCACGTGGGGGCTGCGCGCCTCAGGACAACTTTGCTTATTGTCGGGCATGTTTTTGAGATGTTTGCACTTTGGCGCATGAGAGAATGGATGCATCAGCTACCATGCATTGGAGAGTGTATGTTGTGCTGCAGGAGAGGTCCCTCCAAGTCTTTGTCTGTACAAGAAGTACAGCTCTCAGTGCAACGGACGTTAATGTGACCTTCTGCAAACCAACATTTTGATATCTTTCGACATGAGGTTTGAAGGACCCCTAAACGTGCATCTGCCTACCAGAGCAGAACAGCTTTTTGGAAACAAACAGTACAGTCTGGATATATGGCGGCCCAATATCATAATCCTGATTGGAGGGACCCTCGACAAAGGACTTTTCGGGGGCTCAAAGATCCCTGATTTTTGGACATTCCTATTGTAAAGAAACTTGCAGTTGTACGTGCTGAGTGGCTGAGGCAAAGACACTTTTGGAGACCATCGCTCAGTCTCGTATCCTGTGCTGATTTCTTCTGGTTTTATGGAAATAGATAGACAAGATGATTTCAATGGATGTGTTACAGGACATTCCTGGAGATTCTAGATTCCAGGCCCCTCTTTGAGAACACTTTCAAAGGGGTCCCTCTTCTTTTGTTGAGAGATGTTCATTTTTGGCATGAATGCCCGTCAAGTTCCGAGGTCTTTGCGGTCAGCCAGCACTCACACAGATTTTCAGAAGGCCGTGCGGTGTACACCGGATGAGCTCGCAGCATCTCACACGGCATCTGATTTTCTTGGTTATATTGGGTTTATATTGGGGTTATATTGGGATAATGGAAAATAAAATGGAAACTACTATAATGAGCAGGCACTTGTGAATCTTCGCGGAAGAGGATGGGGTGCCCTCAAGAAGCGAGAGGCGGGTTGGACTCGAGCCAAAGGCAGATGATGAAAGCGCGTGTATATGCATTTCAAGGCAGTTGCGCGCCTGTTGGGGATGGCATGGAAAGCTCCCCTGAAGGCCTTTCTCTTCAGACACTTCGCTTCGTGTTGTCAAGGTTCTTTGTGCGGAAACAGGCTGCAGGATTTAGCATTGACCAGTGGGGTTTCCCAGAGATGCTTGCAGCAGTTGGGCCCTCAGAATGCAAGCTCCGATTCTGGAGTGCATACGTCGTTTATTCGCATTCTTAGTAGCATCAGTCCTGTCCAGGCTGCGACAAAGGGTTTTTGGTCATCAACGTGACGGTCATTTTAACAGCGCTGCAGTTTGAAATTGGCTCGAGTCCGTCTAGGACATGCAAACTGACGGCTAGGTGTAATTTTACGCGTTGTCTTGAAATTTCTGCTCTGTCGCAGTGCTCAGGTCCGCGTTCACCATGCGCAGCCTGGTATCAAAACCCTCTCCGAAGAGATTGAGAGGCAAGGGCAGATGGGGATCTCGGGTGCTATCATGCTAGAGGGGGATGTGCAGAACATATGTTTACGCTGCGAGCTTCGGTGACAGTTGAACACGCAGGCAGCTTCGGTTTCAACCTGGAGATCTCTTTGGATCCAAGGCGCTTGTCAGATTTCCATCGTGCTTACTGATTCCATAAGCCCTAAACACTAAAACCTAAACCCTAAACCGTAAACCCTAAAACCTAAAACCCCAAAACCTAGGGCCAAAGATTTCATACCAGGCCGGAGCCATGAAACAGACGTCCTCGGCAGCTGAAGCTGCAGCAGTCACGGAGGCGGAGGTGCAGGTGACTGGGAACATATATGGGGGTTTCCCCAAATTAGGGGTAACTTTTTGGGGGTCCCAATAATAAGGATTATAGTATTTTGGGGCCTATATTGGGGTCCCCCTATTTTGGGAAACTACCATATTTTGTCGCGGGCCTATTGTATTGGGAACTGCATTGTCTGCCTCGAGGTCACGGTTATGCATCCCACCGACCGAGATTCTGTAGCGCAAGCCTCTGTTGCACTCACCTAATGTTTGGATTCTGCCACGACTTTGGCAAAGGGCTCCGCTGAAGCTGGCTGAGCTGAGAGTTTCAAGCTGCTAGCCTTCCCGCTGAGGTGGTGAGTGTCCCTGGCAGTGCCACAATGAGGCAGGTCAAAGAGGCGCTGGCCAAGCTCTAAGACAATCTTCTGTTGATGCCTATGGCTTTGTGAGAACTCCGAGCTAAGGCTAAAAAACTTGGCCGGCCGGAGATTGCTCGAAATGGCAGATATCTTGTCTGCTTTGGAAGAGCATCTCAGTGGAACATGACATGCTGAGACACGTGGCATAATCCTTCCAGGTCGCATGGTGACCGAAGGTCCCAACGGCGCTCGTTGCTTAGTCTCCAACATGTTCTAGTAAGCACTGTATCACAGCTTTGAGCCAAGGACCTCCTACCTGTGCCAGATAGCCAGAGGCACGCGCTGTTGCGCCCAGTCAGGGTGGTCTTCAGATTTGGGGCCTGTGTCTAGATTCTCAGAATCATCAGCAATCTCAGCAATCCCAATTTGAACCCTCCACCTGAACACTAAATCCTAAACCCTGAAGCATGTAGCTCCTGTGCACTTACCTGGGAGGCTTGGCCTGAAGCGGCAGGTCTTCATCATGGGTGGCGGGCTTTGCATTCCAAGCCTTTCTAGGTAGCTGAACTCTTGATGTAGAACGATTGTATAATCGGCTGGCTTTGTCTACTTGGCTGTCACCTGAAGCCCTCTCAATTCTTGTGTTTAAAGTTGACAGGTAGGAAGGTGCAGTTTCTCCCAGAAAGGTTCTGAACTGCTTGCTCAGGCACCTCACTCGCGGCAACGCCAGCCGCTGGTAGCTTTGCAAGTCAACCGGCACACCTCGCTATGATTTCTGGCATGCTCAATGACACGCCTTGTATTGCTCTGTGCTGCTATGAAAACCATGGCGGAAGACCCTGCAGCAATTTCGGATTGCAGTCTTGCGCAACATTGCTAACTGTTGGACTGGTGCTGCGTTCTTGATGCCTGACGCACGGCAAAGATCCTGTAAAACAAATCTGCTGAGATAACCACACATCACAACACGTCAAGCATACTGATGTCATCTTCTGCGCCTTGCCCGGTGCTGCAGACTCCCCGAAGCATGGCAAACAAGTATTCCAAGAGTTTTGGTTTGTATCAGGATCAGTGCAGATTCTTTGCATCACCTGGCATTTGGCTTCCCTAACCAAGGGCCCAGACGGATCCGTGCTTTGGCTGAAGAAGAGTGATCATGTAGAAGTTGTGCTGTGTAGGGTGCTGAAAAAGGCGACTCGCGCAATGAGGCTGTCCGGATCCCAGATGCCGACGCATGCAAATGTGGATGCCCCGCATACTCTCCCTCAAGAATGAGGATCCTTACTCACACCTTCTTGGTAAGGACCCAAGACTAGCCTGGATCTCCCAATATAAGACAACCTTCAAATGCTTGCTGGCTAGCGGCTAGTTTTGCTAGTCGGTATTGGCAGTCCAGGCTTGTATGCAACACGGAGCAGCCAGGATGTTAAGCGATTCATCACCCCACTGTCATACCGCTTCGGACTCAGGTCTTGCTGTGTACTTGTGTTGAAATAGGCACTAATGGAGCCCAGCATGGGAAGGGCACCTTCGTCCAGGTATGAAGAAAGCAAAGCAAGACTCGGAGGCTTGGATGGCGTTGTACAAGTGCTGTCTTTCCTCGCACCTTGCTTGGTTGACTGCAGGCAGTAGGACATGCACCCGTGGCTAGGACGAGAGTGCTTGCTTTTGTTTCAGGCCACCGAAAGCCAAAGCACCGGAATTGGTCAGGATGACGAGGGCAGTCGGAGCCTGAGCGAATTTGGTTGGAACAGGCCAGCTTCGCTATAGGCCATGCTCCCAATCATGAATGGGTATGCTAGTGACTAGTCTTCTAGGACCCTCCGAGTTTTTTTGACCACCAAGACATTTTCCTGTACCCTCCACATCGACCGTTCCAATGTTGCCAAGGTGAAGATGAGAGAGAAACGAAGGAATCGGCGCCCCCGCCCTCGAGACCGGGGAAAATTGCCGGAAGCCCAGAGTCTTTTTTGACTTGGGAGTGTCTCAAGACTATGTCTACTTCATTGGGGCTCCTGCTACAAGGCGTCATAAGGGCTAGATGTAAATGGATCTTTCTCTTGAACCTTTTCTACTTCTTAGAAACTGTGATCCCCAGCCTAGCAGGACCCTTGTTTCCAGTTTCAATCGTGGGAATGCTTTTGCTCTGCACCTTGAACCCATTTGAGCCCTACACCTCATCAAAAGGAGACGTCGCGGCAAAGCGAAGCTCAGCGTCGACGAGGTCGGGGAGTCTTCTAATCGTGTCATATTTCCGAGCTTCTCCTCGAAATGAATTCTACCCCAAAAAGCATCCGTAATTGCTGGATCGCGGCCTTTTGGCCAGTTCCCTGTGCTCTGTTTCGATCTGCTCGTTCTCATTGGAAAATGTGTTCGCTCCTGATGTGTTGCTTGTGGTGATGGAGGTTTGGCGGATTGCCTGCCAGGTGAAGCAAACATGAAGCTGGTGAACAGGCTGGCCAAACTTGAGCTGCTTAGGGTGACTTATGCAGCACTTCCGCAGGCCAGGGAGGATGACTGCCACTGCTGGTGCACCAGGTCTGCTGGCAGTAGATGCAGCTTTTCAGACTTTGCAAGCCGCAGTCTTGGACTTGACCATGCGTCGAATGGAGGTAGCCAGGTCGGGCACAGCCCACGAGTGCGGGAGGCACGCGGCTTTCTTTGTTCTTGAAGTCTAAACATTCTAGATAACCCTGCAAAACTGCCGCAGGTTTCACAACCAACCAGTGAGGACCGGCAAGGGTTGAAAATTGCTGCCGCTGTTCCCCGTCCCTTGCCACCTTTCGCCACTTTTTTTGTATGCGGCATCCTGTCGGAGACCGCTGCCTTGTCCCGGCGTGCTTGGGCATCAGAAGCTGCGCGATGCCAAGCTGGATTTCACAGCGAGAGTCTCCGTGGATGCACAGAGATTTCGGACAGGTAGTGACTGTAGCGGCCACGCCTCGCCGCATAAGCATTGGGCCTCAGAGACCAGAGCTGCCGTACTTTGAGAGCCAACTCAAGATGGAAGTTTTCCTGTCTAGGTCCCAGCGGTGGACCTGGCAGAAGGGTGCGTGCTACGGTTGTCCCGTCCGCTGCTCAATGTTCAGAGACAGATGGCCAGGTTGCCTTGTGCTCCGACTGGAGTTTGCATCTCTGAGACATTCTAAAATGCAGGCCGCCTTCGCCGCCGCATCCTGTAGCGTACCTGGTGTGCAGACCAGAGGTTGCTGTACCTGGACCTAGACCTAAAGATCCAGGTCAAAGACTTGTCTGCAACAGTGCCCCAGATGAGGTGCGCAAAAGGGTGAGCCAGAGGCAATGCTTTGGACATGGGATCATTGCAGGATGCGTGCCTACACCGTGGCTGTTCCTGTACGATCGCCCGTTGCCAGGCCAGGTATGAAGTGACGACTGTTTCCTCGGTCAGTACTGAAAGGTAAGTCACCATCGTATGGACAGATATAGTATTTAATGGGCTTTCCTTTGATGGTAACATAGTTTATGCTCTTTGACAGCAGCAACAACAACGCGGAAGATCAGTGGCCATGCAGAGAGGTCTTTTATTGTCTCTTGATGAGGAGTCAATCGCCCGTGAGATCAGAGATGATCGAGCACCAGACTCCAGACAGGCCTGCATGGGGTATGCGGTATCTGGAAGAATCTTTGCCCCAGGTGGATCCGGAGGCCTAAGTTGCGAAGTCTCAAGTGCTTTGAGGAATGTTGAGCAGTATCACATTCATCCACAAACTGAAAACAGCACGGGCCAACGAAAGTTGAACAGTTTGCAGTCTCAGAAGCTAGCGCTTAGAGACACTGCTGCAAATGCAGTGACGCATTCTGTTTACTCACAACGTTCCCTATCATCCTTCCCATTCCAAAGAGGTTTAGCAGGCAGTCGCTCAGGCCCTTGCCAGTTGCTGTCGCCACGCCAGCAACTCCGTCTTTGGTGTGCGGTCCCTACGAAAGAGGCTTCAACCGCAGTAGCCAAGCCAAGTCTGCTGAAAGCATACTCCAAATGTGCTGAATGCAGCAACGTGTTGGGATGGTTTTTGTACACTTGGAGAAGTGTTCTTATGAGGTGTGAACCGACGAAACTCCGGCGCATGACTGTGGCCCAGTCATGCTCTGCGCCCTCCTTGTTTCCGCAGCCCGCACAGCTGCCTGTGCCGGGGGTCTAAGCCTGTTGAGCTTGCTGAACCCAAGGCCGAGCTGAAGAGACCTGTTCCCTGAGGCCAGAGACGCAGTCCCTGGCGCAGCTCGTCATCCAGCAACTGAACACTCCCGCGCGGCAGGAGGGACGCTTCAAGTCGGATCATCTCGCAGCAAGCGTCCTTGCAAAGGAGCAGCGCTGCTGCGCGGTCCCTCACCGCGCAATTCCCTGCCATGTGCAGAGTTCGGTCGTCGTGGAGCACGCGGTCGTTAAACCAACGGCCTGTACCGCTCCACAAACTCCACAGGCACAATTAAAAGACTTGAAGCCACTGCTTCAGCAGCTCTTTGATGAGGAAGCTCCAGGACAGAACCAGTCCCCGGAGCAGCTACAGAGCAAGATCGACCAACTACAGGCACTCCAGCAGCTTCTTCAGGTGCAGCAGCAAGGCCTAAAGCAACAGCAGCTTCAGCTGCAGCGGGACGTTAAACGACCTCCAGGTCGCGCCGCTGTGGCTCGGCCGGGTAACCTTGACTGCATTGGCGCCTGATGCCAGTCATGATGCAGTAGCAGACGAATACTGCAAGCCTAGTAGCAATAGTAGAAAACGGCTAGTTCATATTGCTCCGCGACGATTAGGCAGTGCTTTTTTCTGTTTCTTAGCTGAATTTACTAGAAGTGGCAGGTATGCGCTCGATGTCGCCAAACAGGGCGTCGGCGAGAACAACTCGGTCTGGAAGCGAAGCCGCAACCTTAATGAATGGCAATGAGAGGTCAACAGGGCATGAAGTACAAAGCTACAACTCTGGCAGTGCGCAAACCCAGGGCGGTCGACGACGATATCTCGTTTGAATGGCTCTTTCCAAAGCTGAATTTCACGTGCATCTTGCAAGGTAGATAGTTCAAGCACAAGTTGATCGCTCGTTATGTTTCTGCAAGCAATTTTAGAAGTGAACTGTGCCGACGGTTCTTGCCTGGCTAAAGAGTGCCAGAGAATTGGCGTATGGATCAGGGTTGCTGACATTGTAGCTTCACAGCCCACATCTGCGAAGTTGCCCTGATTTGCCGCATGCATGAGTCTCTCTGTACAGCATTCGTCGGACATGCAGCTGTTGAGTCTGCTGGCTGCACCGAAAATCATGTCTGCCAGGCAGGTCGTCAACCCTTCAGCCTTCTCTATGCATGCAGCCAGCTTCAATCCTTTTGGTATCCTTGGCTTAGACATTTTTCCCTATTTACCTGTCACGGTTGCCAGCTGCTTTCGGGGAACTATTGTGCTAATGATGCTTTGCTTTGCTTTGCTTTGCTTTGCTTTGCTTTTGGATTGTTTTTGGTGCGGTACAGGGTCCCAAACTTTTGAATACATCCTTGGATACAGATAACACGTACGTATGTGTATGTCTTTTACTGCCCTGATTAGTTCTTCTATGTATAATCTGGACACATGCCTAGTAGTTGTGATGCCAGGCCGCCAAAGCAGCGCCAGAACCGTCAGCCTTCCTGATTTGAGTTGTCTTGTGAACAGGGATGCCCAATCTAGGATAGGATTTCATTCTCCCCCTTCTCCCTCTGGTGTTAGTATTCATATCAAAGGTATACTAAAATTGCTTCAATCACCAAAATTCTACTTGTTCTGGTTCCGGCCCGGTCATCCCCAGAGCCCATGGTCAAGTATTAGCAAATCAAGGAAATCGGGGTGGGTCTGATAGGGCCTCTTAAGCCTGCCGTGCCTTTCTTCATGATGATCAACGACCTTTTTCGCAATCCTTTCTGAAGGGAGCATGCGCCAGGGGTCGGTTGAACAGTCTTTGCCTCATGATTTGATGGCATTGGTGACAGGAAGTCTACACGTGATCGGCCCCTGAATCTGGGGGAGGCGAAGGAACTCCTCAAGGATGGGCCTGGAGTTGACTCTGCCATCTGCCAATTCTATGAGTGCACAGGGGCTCTAGTCCTAGACCCTCCTCCTACCCTCTATTAGGGCCTAAGTACCCACTATTAGGGACCATATATCCCCAATTAAGGGTACAAGGAAGGTCCTGGGTTATGGCAAATGCCCATCTGTTTGTTTCGCACGAGCAGGCCTTCCGGGAGATCGCGAGCACGAAGGACTTGCCAGAGCAACGGCGGCGTTTCTCAAATGGATAGGTCCTCCTCTGGGCCCGTTATGGTAAGGATTCCAGTGTCTTGAGGCATATTTAGGGCGATCCCTGCCTTTTGATATCATCTGGCCTGCTTTCAGGACTTCCAGAAGACTCTGGGTAACATACACAAGCAAGGCGCAGAGGGTTACTTTTGCTGCAGGACATAGGAGCTGCTCCCAGTTAGGGTTGCTAAGCCCAAGTAAGCGGTGCAGCGGACATGCGTCTCCTGCCTCCTGCTTAGTGATTTTTTGAATGCCCTGAAGCCTGAAGTGGTGAACATCTCTTATGTGCGGTGCGGCGAGCTCTTTTGTTGTGCAGGGTCGGAAGCAGTGCAGAGAATGCAGCCGATGTTTGTGGGCCAGTCCTTCAACAGGACTATGGTGTCTTCCTCAGTTTCTCTGCTGCAGCCGTGGACGACTCGAGGTATACTTCTGTATATTTCTTCTGGCTGAGGCAATGTATGATTTTCCGCTCACTACAGAAGGTTACCAGGATGAGCATTGGCGCGCTCTCTCTGTCGCCGCAGTTCATGTTCCGATGTCTGCAGGACATGGCACGAGGAATCAGCAAGCACTCGTGGAACATCCACGTCAAAGCTCAAGCTCACGAGGCAGGGCACTTAAATGGCATCACAGCATTACACATCCAAAAGTCAACCCAGGTTGAGCGCATGCTGCGGATGCCTCCCGGTGCCTTCTTCGGCATCCCTGGGGAGCCTGGCCAGGCGATCTTGTGAGCTGGCATATATCCTGTGATGACTGATTTCCGACAGTCTGAGGAGCAGGACTATCCTCCGCTAGAAGAGGATCCGCCTAGCAAGACTCCTGCGAAGGCCGGGGAGTGATGGGGTGCACTTTTGGTATAGCTGCCTCCCCAATGAGCAGGCGCCGACACGACAAGAGCCGGATGTCCCAGAATTTTGTGCTTCCTCAGGTTTAAGTGTGTATGAGACTCAAACAATAGCATGGTTCAAATGGAGTGGGAGTAGTCTTGAGTGGGTCCATGGGTCACCTTCAACTTGTCTTGTGTCCAGGAGTGCATGAGGGCAACTGCTGCCACATTTTGGGGGCCCCTGCAGCAATAACTACATCTCACCAGGCAGTGACAAGAACGAACAAGCAGATGTTGCAAATCTTCAGGATGCCTACTCAAAACCTCATGCCTAGGTCTTAGTCAAGTCCTACATCCTGACCTATAGCCCTGAATTCCTGCTCAGACTAATTTCCTGCATCTTCTGAACTTCCCGAGGCCTCCGCCGAAGCCCAAGTCGCGAGGCATCGAGGCCACGACCGCGGCTTCTCCTCCTTTCTGTTTTTTGTGCATAGCATGCAGGTGTTCGACATTCCCCTTTCATATTGGTTATCAAGCTTTTTACGCATCTGCAGGTGCTGGCCCGGCACGCGGTGGACAACGCAGAGGCATGGTCACGAAAACAGGGAATCAATAGAAGTGGCAGCTTCAGCAGGTGAGGGTGGCGCTTCCCCACGATGCCACCTTTTTCGACTGCAAAGTTGTCAGGGCCCCTGATGACTCCAACTGTTGAGCTTGCGGACCTTGATGTCTCGTGACAGCTTCGTTGATTTTTTGAGAGAGAGTACGGAAGTCTGCAAAATTCAGGCCATCTCAAAGCTGCTTGGCCAAGGGCTCAAGATTGGAAAGGTAGTGAGAAGCTGTGGTGCTGAAAAAATGGCTTAGGTCGAGATGAGATCCTCCGCAAGGGCAGGTTGGCACATGCCCGCCTTCACGCGTAGGGGAGGCTGCTGCTTCTGCGCAAGGCTAGTGCAGAAGAAGGGTGGTGTTTACTCAACCTACAAGGACTGCACATGCGATCACTCTCTTTGGTAACGTCTTGCTATGCTTGGAGACTGGGCATTCTGTTCACTCCTTTGGAATGTGAGGATGATGACCTCATTGGGGACGTCCGTCAGGCTCTTCGCCCCTTTTTTTGTGTCACGTGCTCTTCTTACAAGCCTGAGATGCGTCATGATGTACGAAGTCACGTGCAGGTTTTAGTTCTGGGTGCAGATCTTCGCACGGTTGAAGACCAAGAAGAGGATCAGCCACCTCCAATTCATCCATATGCAGCGATGCCGAAAACGCCCGCGCAGAGCTCCAACGAGGGCTCTAGAGCGGCTCCTGAGCCTTATTCTGTAAACCGTCGACCTGAGACCCTGGAGCCTCCTCCGCGTGTCAAGGAGTCGCATCCCAAAGCGGATCCGCCCCCTTCCAAGCCACCTGATCCTCCCAAACAACCAAAGAAGGCGGCCCCCCCACCAAAGCCCAAACCACCGCCACCGCCACCACAGCAATATGACATCAGCATAAGACATGCCGTCGAGGCAGGTCCTGAGGTCAAGGTGACCATTTGGACCAACTGGACTTTTGCTGCCGTGCGAGAAGCGCTCGCCAAGAAGCTTGGAAGGGAAGACATTCGTCGCAAAGCGAGGTTTGTGTTCAAGGCAAGTGCCGGGACATCGCCATGGATCGCTTTCAAGGACCTGGATGCACTAGAGATGCTTTGTGCAATGCTGGGCATCGTGTAGAAAGCTACTGGACACGTGCTGCTGCTGAAGGGCTGCGGTTGCGGAAGTCGTTGAAGCCCTCAAACACGGTCAATTTTTCAGGCATTCAGTACCCAGACTACCAAATCAACATTTCAAGAACGGTTCCCAAGGCCCTTTGGTACTCCTGATGATCACAAACCAGAAGTAGCTACAGATATGGTCCTAAAACGGCTTTCTTCACCGTAAAAACACCTTAGAACAACAAGTGCATCCCCAAGCACCCTTGGAAATACGACACGAGAGCATCAAGCATGATCTCCACGGCTGGCAAGGTGACAACAAGCACTGGTGTCAACTTTAGGCTTTGGGGTTTAGGGTTCAGGTGTTGTGTAGGGAGTTTTTATAGGACTTATATTCCCCTGCTCGGAAGTGAAGTGTATCGTCAGTGCTGTCAGTTTTCACGTTATTACCACGCCTCTTACCATGGCTCTTACTAAGTTCTTAATACCTTACACCCTAAGTAGTAGTTTCCATGTTCTTTTCCATCATCCCTATATAACCCTAAATACTACCCCAGATCATCCCAATATTATACCCTTGATGCTGCTTTGGACTACAGGGCCAACCCTGGACTAATGTTGTGAGTCGGAACTGAACAATCTGGGTTGCTGTTAAGGAACGTACATTAAGTTACCATAATGGGTATATATAATATAGTAAATAATAGGGTTTCCCCAAAATAGTAACTTAATTTAAGTTCTTTAACAGCAACCCAGCAATTTCTCAATCTCCTGGACATCTTGGACTATTGGGGCGTATCTTGGGCGATTTTACCAACCTTAAAGCAGAAGTAATGGAAAGCAATAGTAACATGGCAACCCCCAAAACCCCAGGCCCAAATGAGTAAAAGCCAGGAAAGGCTATTGGGCAAGCCAAAAACGACAAGAAAAAAACAAGGGTATGCACCCATCTCCTCTTCCTGACATCCCATTTATTCTACTTCTATTTCTATTTAGTGTACCTGCACGCTGCGGCCGCAGCTACAACTGCTGCTGCTGTTGCTACTGCTACTGCGACAACGAGGATTACTAAGGCTAAGCAAATGCGGACACTCAGTATCTTAGTGCTTCGGGTCAGGACCAAGAAACCGTTGGCTGGGCGCCAGATGGCTCTCGCCGGGACGAGTTGATGATGCTTGGCCCGGCTCTCATCTTTGAGATGGTAGATGTTAGCTTTCGCTTTTCTAGCTTACGGTGTTGTAGAATACCCTTGCCTTACTTCCCTCAATACCCCCAGGCCTCACATGAGGGCCACTGAAGATCAATTGGCGGTTATATGGTCTTGATCTGGCCTTGTTTGGGGACACCGCGAGCAAGAGCATCATGTATGAGTTATGTTTGACATACGGGATTCTTGGGAGATACCCAGCCGGTTATATTCCAGCTTTCCACTGATGGTGCTTGGTGGCCACCTTGGCTCACAGAGCTGTTCATGGCGTTAGTGCTCTGAGGTGTTGAGCTAGAAGAGGCAGAGTCTGCAGAGAGCATCGTGCTGCCATTAGCTTGGATTAGGGTTGCGCTGCCCTTGTATCAGGGCCTGCAAGCAAGCTGCCATTAAACTTGCAGGTCCGTGGACTCCGTCATGAAACTGTTGCAGGAGCCGTGGGCGTCCTTCAATTCGACTACTGCTATGTCGAATCAGTAGTCATCATGGTAGCATAATACAACAGAACAAGCTGTCCTTGTCATTGCCCCCGTGCGGGCAAGACAAAGAAAGCGCTTGCTGGAGAGAGGTTGCCGTAACATTCAAGACCCATTTCCTAGTCATATTGGTAATTGGAGTCATAAACGTCACGCGCGTTGACTTTTCCGCGACCTTTTCGTGTAATTTTGCATAATATGTTGGGCATCGGCAACTATATTTTTGTGACAGCTAGGGCTGGCGGCCAGCTTCACACCAGGCCATAAAATCTGTGAGTCATGTGCTTGAAGGTGATCCCGCTGCCTAGCAGACTCCTGACATTAAGCAGTTGTGAGTAGTGAGTCAGACCGCGCTTAATGTGTTCGATCTGCGTGCTGTGTGGGAACCAGGAGCTTGAGAAGGCTTGCGCCCAGGAGCTTCTTCTTTTTTCCCTTCAGATTCAAGTTAGACAAGTGGCCATATCCGCAGGATGATATCCAAGCGCAACTGGAGAAGCTGCATGAACGCAGCAATCTCAGCCAGCCCTTAGGCAACACAGTGTGCAAGAAGAAGAAGAAGCAGAAGAAGTGGGAGCTCCTTGCATAAATTGGAGTTTCATGAAATGCTAGCAGTCCGACGAAGGCGGTGGCATTGCGCTGCAGTTGGGCATCACCCAGCTCTTGGGTCAGGCATGACTCAAAGGGCGCCGTTAAAGCAGGAATGGCTTCAGACTTTCTTCATATTTTGCGAGGCGGCGCAGAAGGCAACTGAAATTGCCCTTGGGAGAGCTTGGAAACTGCAGCGGGTGATCGATGCTGTGAAGGCAAGGGATCCATCAGGTCTCTTCCAGACCCAACTACGCTTATAGCCGAGGTTCACTCCACTGACAAGTCAGTCCGTGGTCTGGCGGACAGCACCACCCTAAGAACTCCGGGCTGCGCTGCATTATTATCTAGTATATTATTGTATATAGTATATTAAAGTATTTTATACTCCATTATACTGCATTATATTACATCATTTTGCATTGTATGACATTTTTAGTGTAATGCAGTATACCATGCTTCGAGCCAAGGTGTTGAGAAGAGGCTTCGGCTTGAACCGGGAATGCTTTTCAGCCGGCCCCAGGCTGGGGCCGACAATAATCATAGCAATGACAATGAGACGGTACGTATAAGATAGCAATAGTAACTTGCAGTATGAATTACAATACCGACAATATTACCAATAATGATAAGAATAAAGGTAGCAACAAATGATACCAGCAGCAAGAATAATAGTACTACTCCTACGACGACGACGACGACTACTACTACTACTACTACTACTATTACTACTACTATTATTACTACTACTACTACTACTACTCTTCTTATGAGTAGTAGGAGTAGTACTACCCGATACCCTAAACCCTAAACCCCAATCTCAGTGTAGCAGCAGTTTTTGACTCGTAAACGCAGGAGGCAGGTCAGAAGCCTCCATCGCTTCGAAGCGCAGCAGAGGCTGCGCATCTGCTCTCTCGCTGCAGCTTACTGGTTTTTAAGGTTTAGGGTTTTAGGGTTAAGGGCTTAGGGCTTAGGGTTTTAGGGTTTCGGATTCAGGGGAGAATGGAAAAGAACATGGAAACTACTACACTATACTAGGGTACATATAGGGTTCTATAGTGGTTCTATAGAGATAATGGAAGAGAACATGGAAACTACTATGAAGTTCTTAGTAGGGAATAGATTACATAGGGATATATTCCTCATAAATAGGGATTTTATTTGGGTTTATTCCTCATATCTAGGGATTCTTTAGGGGATACAGCTTTATTCCCTTCTAAGAACCAATCAAGATATCTTTTTGAGGTTGCCATAAGCGTTGTTGACCTCTGCCAGGAGGAGCTGGATTATATTGAGTCCGCTGACCCCGAACCAGCAGGATGGGGGTGAGCCTGAAACCACAACAGTTCGTGATCTGAACTTTGAGACGTGCTTTGTTGGTGATATATATCTACTGAACAGGCTTTGAAGCCTAGCAAAACCATGTAATCTTAATATTCAGTGGTTTGGAGTGCCCTGCACTTTGGACACACGGATTGTGCAGCGAGCCTGTGAAGGACTGCCGCAGCTTGGTGTCCATCAGGCCGCTTGTTGTTCCCTACGCGTTGGTGGAATTTGAGACAAGTGAGGGATTTCTCGAATTTTGGGCCCTTCTCGAGGTGCTCATGAAGCACGTTTTTCTTCGTGACTTATGTAGGGAGTCCTAATGTCCAGAAGTCTCCATAGCCCTCCAGGCTGCTGCAGTCCTAAGGAACCCCATTTCAGGTTCCACACACTTGCTAGAGGTCGTGGAAGGTGTCCAAGAATGGGTTTATGGTTTATGGCTTAGGGTGGATTCCATTTGGGGTCCGCTAGGAGCCCGTTTGAAAAAACCGGGGATTCAACCCCCTTTATAACCCCTATATAGCCCCTGTATACTATGTTCCCGTATTCCTTGCTAACCCTTGGTAAGCAGCCATGTTGGCATGTTCTGCCAGGTGATTGCCATGCAGCGAGAGCTGCATGCAGGATTTTCAGATCCTGCATTCCAGAGGAGGCACTCCGTCCCATGTAAGCTGTGGTCTGGACTCCTTAAAAAGGGGTTATGTAAGCTATATAGGGTTGAGGGATTAGGGTCTAAACTCCTTAAAGGGGTCTATATAGGGGATGCTATAGGGTAATAGAAGTGATTAAGGGGGATACTCGCATTCTAGAATATGGCTCATGTGCTGGATGGAACAGGATTCTCTTTGTGGACTCTTGTGCATCAGTATGTGTGTTTTGTGCAGGAGATGTGGGAGTTTCATATGGAGTTTGCTACAATTAGGGATTACCTTTTTCTCGGGATCCACATTGTAAGGACCAAAAAGTGTCATTGAGTCTGTGTTGGGGCTGCTTTACGTCTAAGGGTACATGAGGGCATATGTGTGAGAAGATCAACGAAGTCTTGTGCTACGTCGACGCTTGCCCTCGTAGTGCTGGATGCAGGCTGGACATTCTGGAAAACTTCCATGCCAAGGTGCGATTCTGATGAGAGAGGTGCATAGAACTTTGGCTTCAGGGTCTTGAGTTCAGAGTGAAGATCATTGGCTGCCCTGAAGAGCCATTGCTCAAGCGGTTGCTTCTGGCCACAATGCCAAATGACTCAGGACCCAAAGCTCATCCCCATGAGACAAGAGCTGTTCCTCTCCGTGTGGACCTGAGACCTGCTTTCAGAGTTTTTTGCCCGATGGCTACGTCTGGAACATGGACCTCCTTGTGATTCCTTTTGCCAGAGATCCTAAACAATGTCCCTCATTTTTCAAACAGCTCGAGATTCTTTTTTCTGAGGTGCAAAGCAAAGTCTTGCCAAAATATGGCTTCCAGGGAAGCCTGCAGGGAGTCTTCAACATGCTGGTGCGGCACACGGCTTGTGGTTTTCACTTGTGACCTTTCCTTGGGAATTCTGGGCTTTTGGTGTATGCTGTCCCATTAAGTTTGATGCTGGCGTAAGAGCAGTCTGGAAGCTCGGGAGCCAGGAAGTTTTCCGTCGACCCGACCTCCAGCACAACGAGGAGTTCATCCGACTTGGGTGGCTTCCCTATCTGGAAGCTTCTGCCTGCAAATGGGGGCAGATCGGCATTGTGATCATAGGGAAGCAGGTTTTCATGTTGGCCATTTGGAGCGCCGGGTTTTGGAGATTCATGCGCATTTGGTTGCGGGTGCTGTTTGCAAAAGATAGTATAACATAGTATACTGTAGTATATCATAGTATATTCTAGTATATTATAGTATATTATAGTATATGGTAGGTTATTATTGTATTTGATTGCAACCTCTTTTGGCTCAAACAGTGTGTCACAGGGCTATGCAGCAATTAGTGCCTTGGCCTGGAAGCGTCGGTGAGTCATAGGGGTTATACTGGGGTTATATAGGGATAATGGAAATGAACATGGAAACTACTATATTATGGGGATCTATAGGGGCTCTAGGATTATATGTGGCGTTCATGGGTTTCTGGCACTGTCAAAGGATGTGATGTGCACACATATCAGGTGCTGTGCCCATGCTTGACAACTTCCTTGTGAAGCTTATCTACTCCTGCGTGCCCTTCTCGCAGTCAAACAGGAAATGGCATGCTTGTACATTGCTATTTCTGTGAGCCATACAGGTCGTAATCTCCTTGCAAGTTCATGATCGCCCGCAACGTTAGCATAGCACAATCCGAGGTGTGTATCGTTTGTGCCATTCTGCTTCAGGCTGGGTTTGTTAGAGCGCAGGCCATGATGTGGAAGACTTTGTGTGGATGGCTTTTTTTATTCAATTGGCTGGCGAAGCCCCTACACTTGCAAGGGCTGCCCAGACACCTGTACGACGGATGGCGATCTGACCGTCTGCTGCCCAAGCGTGTTTTGCAAGGGTGTGCCTCGACTGAAACAGTCATGTTTTTCAAGATCCAATCTCCAAATGACCGCAGCCTAATACTGTAACGCTGAACATCATGTTTCGAAACAAGGACAACGGATGCTGCGTCTTGGCAAGAGATTTGGGGGTGTGTGTTCTCTGCGTAGGAGCATGCACAAGAGGGACAGAGTCAGCAGCTCCTTGAAGCGCAGGTTGCCAAAAGGAACTAGGGCTTGATATAGCTTGATGGAGACAGACAGTGGACATCCTGTTTCGTGTGATGCCCACAGTGCCGAAGAGGGACATGACTTTGCACACCAGACTGCAAGTGATTTGAACCAGCTTGGCCAAGTCTGCATATGCTGCTATGAGAACCAGGCAATTATGCTCCTCTCGCAACATCAACCAGCTCTTGATCATCGTGCCCACCTTTTTAGCCGACCCCATAGCTTCCAGGTCTGAACGATCCGCTGAACTTGTGCTCCGCACAAGATGGCTCCACAGCTTGGATGGTCGGTCAAGTTGTGGTGCAACATATTGGAGTCAAGCTACACTTGTCGTCATCATCGCATGCTTGCACTTGTTCCTGCCGTGGCATTAAGGATGAGGGCTAGCTTTATTTTTGTAACTGCAAAAGACTGTGCAGCAATTTATATACTCTCCACACAAATGCTCCTGATCCGTTCGCACATGTTTCACCTCTGCGTCCTCTTTGGTACCCAAGGAAACCAGACTGGCCGTCTTCTTGAATTCGTACGCTTAAAGCTGGCAGCTGGTGGATGCGTAGAGGAGAGGATAGACGAACCTATCGTCATGAATGGCAACTTGGGCTTCCCAACATAAATGATCATATATACCATTGTTCGTTTTTGCAAGCGGATAATTGTTTTTTTTCTCCGGCAGCTCACTGCCAGCAGCAGTGATACATCTTACAGCCCCATGAATTTTGCTGATGCGCCCACTACGGAGCTTACCCACAACGTAGCCCCCCATAGCACTTTCGCAATTTTTCCATACGTTTCACCACAAGCCGTATCTGAATGCTGTAACCCGTCCTGCTATGTTTGAGCTTGGGCAAGCCAAGGCATAATTGATGCCGCTCGTCAGCAAGGGGGTGGTGCCAGGGTTTGAGGCTGGTTCTACTAGAGGCAGCTTGAGTCAGGACTATGTACGGGTTCAAACAGTGTAGATTACCCATCAGCTCTTCCTCATTTGGTCCTCACTTAGGTAGACCTCGTTGCATGTGCACAGTTTCCAGATCTTGTTCCAGCGAAACCTGAAGGCGCCAACCACCACCAACGCAAGCTCCTAACGAGGCCGCATGCCTTCTAAAGCGCAGCTTCACTGCTTCTGCATGTGTCCTGCTGTGACAGGTTTGAGCAGCTCTAGGTGGTCAAGCCACGCTCCCAAGAAATTCGTCCGAGCTTAGCATGTTTCACTGACACCATTCTTAGCAGGAGTGCATTGAATTGCCACTTCAGAAGTACTTTTTGTGCACAGCTTCACGTTGCTGCTGGATTGGGTGGAGTATCAAGTTGGGCACGCAGCATTTGTAGAGCCGTTTGTAGCCCAGCACAACAGATGTGTGCCTAGTCAGTTTCACGATTTGGCATACTCCACAAGTCGGGATGTGCCAAGCGGATACGCAGACAGCAGTTGCAAGGCACTGCGAGCGCAAGTCATCCTGCTGTGACAGGATTTTCCGCCTGAGACTAGTCATGCAGTGCGCTCAGCCTGCGAGAAACGAAGCTGGAGGTCTTGATCAATCATTGGCTTTGTAACAATCACCCAATCTATCTTGGTGACTCTTGAGAGCAGCGCCTGCGCAGGTCTGAATTGAACGCGCTCCTCCGTCTGATGCCAGATGGTCGGCCACGTCCACCAGCGAAGCGAGAGGCAGCAGCCATGGCAACTCATGTGCTCTTCACTCAAGCTGTTGTCTGGCACGAGCCTAGATTGCTCGCAGTCTTTGGCTTGCTGAACGGTGTAGGGGAACAAGGCCACTCGAGCCCCTGTAGCCAGAGAGCTATGGTCCGTCGTTTCCGCGGTGCACTTGCGTTGGCTGCTGCGACGTTGGTGTGTCATTGTTGCACTGACCTGAGGTTCGTCACACCAAAGGCAGAGGCATCCGAAGCGACCCGGCGCGGCTTGGCCACAAGCCTGGCAATGGGGCTCGCAAGCCTTGTAGGGTTGGAGTCGGCTCATGCCTACGACCTCCCTGACCTGCCTTACGCCTACGATGCTTTGGAGCCGTCCATTGACAAGGCCACCATGGAGTTCCACCACGACAAGCACCATCTGACGTATGTGACCAACATCAACAAAGCTCTGGAAGGAAAGACACAGCCTGCGCTCGTCGAGTTGCAGAAGTCGGCAATCAAGGAAGCTCGGCTTCGTAAAACCGGGCCAGGAGCGTTATGTGTAACTGCTACCACATGTCAAACTCAACAGGCCAGGCCAACAACTTCCTTAGCTTTAGAATCAAACAGGGTGCATCATCACTCATGGTACGTGTTCCGTGTGCATATGAGCTCATATCAAGGACGGAGCAGCCTTTCGCAACAGTGGGGGTGGTGCATACAATCACAACTTCTTCTGGCTCGAAATGGCTCCAACTGGAACTGGCGGTGCGCCCTCCGAAAAGCTTGCTGCAGCCATAGATGAAGCTTTTGGATCCATGGATGACTTCAAGGCTGGCCGTTTCATATGAGCTATAGTTTTTAAAGGGGGTTATGTAGGGAATTATATAGGGCAGCATTATAGGGGTTATTAAGGGGGATACTAGGAGTTTAGACTATAGCTCATATGCTGAGATTGCACGACCAGTCTTACGAGCAGACAGCGTGTGTGTCAAGTGTTTGGAAGCGGGCTTCCAAACTACACAATCCACATGTTCCATTGATTCCAGTAAGCTGCTTTCCATGCTAATGCCCCTAAACCCTATCCATTTCATTTTCTATTTGATTTTCCATTTCATTCTCCATGATTGGGATAATATCCCTATATAACCCAATGTAACTCAAGACAACCCAATATAGTTTCAGCAGATGACTTTGGAAAACCTTACTGTAAGTCTATTACCCTACCTCAAATCCAACCTAAACCTCCATACCCTACTACCCTAACCCTGCAAACCCTGAAACCTCCAGGCCAAGTTTGAAGCTGCTGGTGCTCCGGGTGCACGCTTCGGATCCGGTTGGGTTTGGCTGGTGGTCGCGGACGACAAGACTCTCTGTAGACATATTTGAAGGTTTCTCAAAAAGCGCTACTTTTGTTTAGGGGCATGGATGGGTTGACCCTAGTAGGCTGCAGCCTGGCTACCTCAGCCCTGCCATGAGAAGCCATTATGAGAAGGCATTTAATGAAGGAAGTGGTTTGCTTGGGGCTGGGTCGATTGGCCTGACTCTTAGACACTTTGTTTGTTTTCTCTCGGCTGTTTTCATCTTGGAGGTGAGTGTATCTGCTGCACGTTTATGACGCTTCCTGCCCTTGGGGTCCTGCAGAATTTGCACTCGGGTGCCCTCTTAGAAGGTTGTGTGAGGAATTTTTTGGCCGCCCTCAGGAAGCTGGCAATCACTTCAACTCCCAACCAGGACAATCCGCTGATGGAAGGTGTTGAGGGTACTGCAGGCATTCCGATCTTGGGCTGTGACGTTTGGGAGCATGCCTACTACCTCAAGTACCAGTACCGCCGCCCGGACTACATCAAGGCCTGGTGGGACGTCGTGAACTGGAACCAGGTTGGGTGTTCTCAAAGATCAGGGGGGTGCTTGTGGGAGATTCCAGTACTGAGGGCTCTGAAGCAGGTGATCTGTGCGAGAGCTTGTCTAAGGCAACACCCCGTGCTGTCCCGTATCCAGGTAAGTGCCTGGTATGAAGATGCCTTGGGTGGCAAAGCGCCGACAGCGGACTCGGCTACGTCGACCGCAGCTCTGATTGGGAAGAAGACTTCGTCCTTCGATTTGAAGTTGGGCTTCGAAGCCAACGCAAGGTACGGAAGTTGAACCTCCCACAGAAAGTTGTGAGGCATGTCGCGGCCCGGGGGCCTTCTGTGCGGGTCTGCGTCAATTGTTTTTCATTTGAATATGAACAGACCCATCTTGGGACTTCCGTGAGCCCTCGCTCGCAGAAAGAAGTCTCGTTTCATGCTCCGTGCAGACTCAGGTTGCCGCAGTGTTGTGAGCTTCACCAAGTCTTGTTCTAGGTTGTCTTGCGCATGGTGCAGGCATTTCCAGAACCGGCAGCTGCTTCGAGTCAAGTCGGGTTCTCATTCTTTCCACCACGGTTGATGCTCTTCCTGCTTCTGAGTGCATCACTGATATCATGGGGCTTGCAGAGGTCTCAGGGCGGCCAGCAAAGCCAAAGACGCCGACTCCTCCTGTGGAGCGGCAGCCGGTGGCAGTTCGTGACATCGAGGTTTGGGCTTCAGAAGCAGCAGCCTGTTTTGTTCGTAGTCTCATAGACCCTAGAAACGTAGGAGTCGGGGCAGGCCATGTGTTGGCGGTGGTGGTGGCGGTGCTGCTGCTGCTACTGTTGGTGGTGGTGGTGGTGGTGGCGGCGGCGGCGGCGGCGGTGTTGGTGGTTTGGTGGCGCTGCTGCCGCCTTGCGGTCTATGCCTTCATTCTCGGAGTCAGGTGATAATGATTGCTGCTCTCGCGAAACCACTGCAGAATGCAGGTGGTTGTGCGGCATGCCGTGCCAGAAGGTCCTTTGGCCAACGAGGCCGCTGCAAAAGAGCTTGACATGTGTTTCATGTTCTGCCTCAGTCTAGGAGGTGCTGCTGACAGTGAAAAGCAACGCCACCATAAAGAGCGTGAAAGAGGCCGCTGGTTTGCAATGCTTCTCAGTTGCGAGGGGAAGGCGGATGGAGGTTCTGAGTGGGTTGTGTTCAGGCCTTGG